AAAAGATATTTAGTATTTTTACTTAATTCTTAAGTAATTTCTAATTTATAATATTTTTATTATTTATTTATATATTTAATATAACTTTATTAGTTTTAAAAGATTATTTAATAAATTTATAAGATTTAACTTTTAAATATAAGAGATTTAAAAAAAAGATTAATATAAATAATTAAATAAAAAATAAAAAATAAATTTATAATAATTATAAAATAAAAGTTAAAATATATAGTTAATAATATAACTTTAGGGGGCACTGTGAACCAGTTTAATGCCCATTATATCTGCTGAGGGTGACTGTAGACACAAGTCCCTGACGAGTGTACATTTGCTTCAGGTTTTTGTCTTTGTCACGACACATCGCTACGAACGTCACCTCCGAGTGCAGGGTGCTGCTCGCCACACATTTCCTTGTCAAATTCTGCAATACACGCTGAATCTTTTTTTTTATTTCCCCAGAAAACGACGCATATACAGGCTATGAATGTCAATCGCCCTGTCGAATAGTTCACCCATCGGATAGTCGAGTCATGATGGCTTCTGCTGTATTAATCGTATCTAGCTGAGCGGCCTTGCCCGCTCTCCGATGCCTCCGTCGCGGTGTAGATGCAAAGAAACCAATGTGTCTTGCTGAGTCGTCTCGACACAAAAAGAAGTAAAAGTGTAAACTGTAACAAATCGCCGAAGCACGCACTCTAGCCGGATACCAACACCCAAAGTCTGCAAGTTTGTTAGCTCTCGTCTTCCAACGTGTAATCGGCGCGGCGACACTTACAGAAAGAAAATCATCAACACGCCAAACATTTTCGCTATTAACCAGCGGTTACCCGACACCCTGGACCAGTACTTGAGCAGCTCACGCTGCGCGCCTTCGACATTGTCCACAACGTCCTCTGTGTTGGCGTCTATCCGCTGGATCATGTCGCTCTGTTCCGACACCATGGTCGCCAACTGGCCAAAGATGCTGCCCAGCTCCCCAATCGTCTTTTCAATCGCCTCAATCGCCTCGCCGCGCTGCTGAATGTACGTGTTGGCCGGCTGCGCCTCCTCCATCATGAGCATCTGGTTGTCGCTGACAGGGTTAAGCGAGAGCGTGTCGGCCCCAGGCGCCGGCGACGCGCGGTTCGGCGTGCCGTAGAGTGGTGAAGCCGACTGCTGCAGCGACGGCTGCGCGTGCTGCGACACGTTGGAGATGAAGTTTTCGGTCCGCGATCGCGAGGCTTGAATGTTTTTGGTGCGGGCTTCCAGTACGTCCTTGAAATTGACAGACACGTCGGTGAGCTTGCCCTGCAGCAGGTAGACAACGTTTTTGTTGTGTTCGCCTTCCTGATCGGCCCCCTTGGGATGCTGCTGCTTCGACATCATCGACAAAGCCCCAATCTGTTGGTTAAGAGACGACAGGTCCTGCTTGATGACAAAGGTGAGCTCGTTGATTTCGACCGGACGGTCATCGAATAGCGTTCTTCGTTTGGCCACTATGAATTGTCAGTAATCTGGCTGATCTCTTGCTGTATGATGCCTGTCGACTCACGTTGCGCGAGCTTTTCTAGCTTGGCCATGGTTGAGGAGATGCCGCGGCCAATCTCGGCCGCCTTTCTGGCAAAGTCGGAGCGTCGAGCCTTTGCGTCGCCATTTGCCGCCGCCTTTTCCGAGTCCGTCAGTAGCGAGCGTCGTTGCGCGCCGAGTTTGTTGGCATTTTGCTTGCGCTGCGCGAGGGCGAGCACCGACTTGAACTCGGAGGTTCGGTCCTGGATCGATGTGGCGGCCATGGTCGGCGGATTGAAAGTTTATTGTGTTTATGCGAGCGGCGAAAGGAGCATGAGCGACCAGCGCGGGACGCCTTTCAAATGCTGAGCGAAGGAGTGTATGGCGAACGGGATGCAACTGCGCGGCGGCGTTGACAGACGTAATGCAGAGGCCAGGGTTGCCCAACGAGTTTCGGTTTGACCACGTTTTCAGTAAGCCCCTGGCAGAACGGCTTTAGCCGAGGGAGTGACGTGTTTCGGGGTGTGCGAAGAAGAATAAGTCGACAGGATTAATGGATTAAAGTAAAATCACAGGTTGGTAGCGACAAAGATGAAGAGAAGAATAACGGGCTGAAAAGAAGATGATGCTTCCTGGCAAGATGCTGGCTTGAAAAGGGATAACGGGCGGCGCAACCGTTCGCGAAATGCCTGGGGAGATTTGGCTTCTTCTGGAAGGCTGGCTGTGATTGGCCAAAATGCTGGCAATCGAGGACCCACAAAAAGAGTTGACGTCCACCCCCATTTGGCCAGGTTATGCTATGCGGCGGAAGCTGTTTGTTTCTCTCGAACGTATGCCTGAACTTTTTGGGGACAATGTGACGGCAATGGGCAAATCCAGCGAGGAAGACATTCAAAATGCGATACAAAGCGTCAAGAGCGGTGTCAGCGTCACCAAAAGCGCCACTCGCTGGGGTGTACCGCGGTCGACACTGAGGCATCGATTAACGGGAACGGTGACACACGCCGCCGCAGCCGAATCGCAGCAGAGGCTGTCAAAGCGACTTGAGCAGCAGCTTGGCGGCTGGATTGCGACAATGACGGCCATTGCGGAAGCACCTACGCACAAGCAGGTTCGCGAGGTGGCGACCCAGCTTCTTGTACTGGAGGGGGATCTTCGGCCGCTGGGCAAGAATTGGGTTGTCACGTTTCTGCGCCGAAATCCGCATATCACGGCGGTAAAAGGTATGATGGCTTTACTCCGTCGATAAATGGTGCGCGTTGGTTGCTGATACTAAACAGATCCTCCGCGCCCTGCGGTCGAGAGAGGGGCGGGTGAGAGCACTGGACCCCGTCAACTCTAACAACGCAAAGGCACGCTGCAATCTAGATTACTCCTTGGGCCTGTTAAATATGTATGCTTCTTGCAGATGGCTAGAGACAGCACGCAGGTCGGCGCAGGGCGCAATATAAACAGTCCCGAATGGAATATGCACGACAAGAACAGAGCAATCTTGAACCGATCTTTTTGAGAGAGAGAAAAAACAAAGAGGATATGCTTCCATCGTTTAATTTCGATTAATATATTTTTCTTCCCTTTCTTTCGAATAACATGACAGCCAGCATGGCGTGCATGGCTCACTGTCGTCTCGGTGTGAAGTAAATTGAGGCCACGAGGTGGCCAAATCTGGGGCAGGTCTACAAACAAGTCCCCAGTGCTTCAGCCACCAAATGAAACAGGATCAGGCGCCACAAGAAACACTTCGCCACAACTCGCGCCATGACGACATCTTTTTTTTTGGTGGCACCTATGTACAAACCACATGTCTTGAGATGCGGCGGGAATGTTACTCCCAATATTATATAGGTCAAAACGGTGTAAGCCGCGCTGGAGATGCCCAGCTCAAGCCGCACACGCCGTTGATAAGAATCACTCAATGTCTGAGCCGCCGCGGATACAGCCGAACTGGGCTGCTGGCCGAGCGGGTCCTTTAATATCGCTGCTCATCCTCGTAGTCTCGAGGCAGACTGCCTCTTTAAAGGACTTGAATGAGTAGGTGTTGAGGCGCACTATGATGCCAAAGACTGTCAAAGTTAGTACGAGCGGCAGACGCAAACGCAGATGCTCACCTAGGTATTCTGTGCCACGCAACACGTATTACAGAGGTACCTCTGCAAGTCCTAAAAATAATCAACAGCTGCGCCACACCAGTTCGTGAGCTGGCGGCCTGGCGCAGCGGCGCTGTGGGTTGTGGGTTGTGGGCTTGTCAGTGGATGTTGGTGGATGTTAGCGCACTGGAGCTCCATCCAGCTGCCAGCGTCTTACGTCCCACTATAACTCTGCAAATTCCAGCGCTAAAAAGCTCTACGCCTGGGCTTGGCCTGGTCTGCCCCTGAACTTGTCTCCTCGGCATTCCAGCTTCCTGACCACCAGCCTCAGTACTACCTGGGTAATCTCCGACCGCGCCACACCTCGACACCCCCCCATGTCTTACCAGGGACTGCAAAATCGTACACGTCGCTCCTGTCTAGCCTCCCATCCTCATCACTGGCAGACTCATTCTCTCCTTTGCTTGCTCTGCCTCTCGTTTCTATACTTTGCTATTCTTTTGGTACAATTTTGTTTGCATTCCTACGCGGCAGTTTGGATTGTACCATCGTCCATTGCTGTGCCCCTATCCCTGCCCGATACACCGACCATAACTTCACAGGACAAGCAAGTCCTCTGCAATCTCGCGCTTGCGCGCAGTCAATAGCGGTGAAAAAGTTCGCTCGCCCAGAAGCATGACGGCATAGTTCGCCTGATCATCTCTCATCGCTGTCTCGTCATTATGGATCAAGGCTCTTACAGCAGACCAGATGGTCGTGGCCAGCCCACCCTGTGCGTATTCATACACCTGCGGCCTTGATTGTGCGACTATCCTAACAAATTCCCTCTAGGTCCGGTTCCTCAGCCGGCAACAACAACTACCAGGTCAACGTCAGCCGCCAAAAGACGAAGAAATGGGTCGAGGCCAAGTCGCAGAATTACGATGGCGATGACTGGGGCGCCGACGAGTACTCCGAAGACGAGGTAGAGCCGCCTCTGCCTTTCTCGCCCCATGGTCCTCAGCATGACGCTTCTCGCAGCGCATCAAGCGTGCCGTCGCTGCATAGTGAAACCAGCCCGGCATCGCAGCCATTGCAACCACCACAGCAGTCCCGGCCCTATCCACCTCCTTCATCGCGACCCCCTCCACCCGCGATCGCGCAGCCTCGCCAGGCGCCTAATACCTCCTCGTCAGCTCAGCCAGGCTCTACCTTACCGCAATCTGCCGGCGTTCTCCAGCCCCAGAGCGCTTCCTCGACCTTGCCACTGTCGCCTCGCTCGCCGCCAGAAAATCTTCCATCAGCTGCCTCGCAGGCTGCCACCACGAGCAAGCCTGTCCCTCTTGTTCGGCCTTCAGATATATATCGACGAATGGAAGAGGAAAGGGGTCGCGGATCTTCAGAAAGTTCGCGCCCGAGCGCCGAAATTGCTTCCAACGTGTCTAAGCAAAGCTCAAATTCTCCAGCAAGAACAGTTGCCGAGCCGGTGAGAACTCAGTCTCCAAACGTCCCAACACCTGCGCCGCGCACCGACAGCCGGAACGTCATCTACCAGGATTTGACAAAACCTTCGTCAAGTCGAGCATCGCAGCAGCCACTGGCCCCTTCGCCACCCCCATCAGTAGCGCCACCATCGCAATTTGTGACGCCTGGGCGCGACGCTGCCCCTACCAATGAAGAGACCAAGCGCCTATCCACGAGCCCCAAGCTCCCGGATCTCGCCCGTATATCTGTCTTTGGAGCCGACTTTTTTTCCAGTGGTTTTTCATCACTGTCGTCCGAGCAAATGGCTGAACAAAAGATCCCTGAGGTACCGAAGGTGGCACCAGCATTAAAAGTGGATAAGCCTACCTCAGAGGCGAAGCGTTCTCCCACAGAGGCTTCACAAGCTTCCACGGACAAGACTGAGGTCGCTTCAGTTCCTTCGGTTGCCATGGAGAATGCTCCTCTCCAGCACGAAGCCATCGCACCGACACCGCATCAGGCTTCAACCGTCGCAGTCGAAAGTCGAGAGTCAAAACCGATCACGACACCTGCGGGACCCAAGCCATCTGACCCCGCAAAGCAGTCCGCCGCGAGATCCTCTATTGAGACGGCATCGAGCTCTCGCTCGGCTACCTCCGCAGTTGACATTACCCCGACAAAACCTCTTAATGTCCGCAAAGATGACAGCCCCGTACGAACCTTTGAACCCCCGCCACCCCTCCAACGTGAACCGACATTTGGTACAGATACGTCATCGCCTGTAAAAGAAAGTGATATGCTTAGAGATGAAATCTTCAAGACACTCAATTCGCCAACCCAATCGAGCAGACGGGATAGCGAGACTGGACCGATTGATGGCGAAAGACAAGGGTCACAAAGCCGCCCGAGAGACAGCACCTATACCCTCCAGGACTACGATAGCTACTGGGCTGATGATGCCACCGCGCCTGAAAGTTCTACTCAGCCACTCAAGTCGATGAGTATTGTACCGGAAGAGACTTCAGAAGTCGTGGCGGCGCCTCGATCTCGAGGTCCCGTTGCCAATGCATTGGAGTCTTGGAAGCCGACTGAAGAGGCCAAGCCAGCAGCAACCCCACCTCCTACACAGCCAGCAGCCTCTGCTCAGCTCACGCCTCAAACATCAATCGACCAGTCTTCATCATCGTCTGCTGTGCCACAAGCACACCAGTCTACTGCTGCTCAACAGCTTCCAGATGACTCGATAGCCTCCCCTACTAGCGCAGACCTCCGCCGCAGGTTCTCCTGGGAGGCAGAGACATCCAAGGCGCAGTCAATGGGTAATGGCGTTGCACCTACCACCGCCGCGGCTCCGCCACCTGTGCTCTCGCCCGCGCCCATCTCGGATCCTGACCCGGCTCCGGCTCTTGCTGCAACGACTTCGTCTCATGCCGATCCTAAGCTGGGGCCAGAATCAGCATCTCGCGATCAACAGCCTGACGCTTCTGCTCTTAATGTAAGCACACCAGCTTTTGCTGCCACCGATGGCAGCTCGCAAGAGTCTAGGCGTATCTCGCTTTCGGATGAAAAGGCCATGTCGGCTACAACATCAAACGAAGCTTCCTCCGAGGAGCATCCCGCTTTGAGACTATCTGATCCGGCTCCGGCTCCTGTTTTGAGCATGCCGAGAATCCCTGGAGCGAGTGTGACTCCGTTCAGAGACATCGTCAGCCTTGGCAGTTCTGCCGAGAGAATCGCCAAATTCAACGAGACGAGAGTCGCTTTTGCTGTCATGGATATCGGGCTCGACACGTGGCTCAGGACCCTTGAACAGGATCACCCAGACCGTCACTCCAAAAGCTTCAACTCGTATCAACCACCTATCACTTCCCCAACTGAAGTGTCATCGGGAGCTCAACCACCAGCGCAGCAGCCTTACTACCAGCAGTACTTGAATGCGAGCGCTCCCGGCAGCGGACCACCGGCTGGTCGCCGCATTGGTGGAATCACCATGCCGTCCAACGTAGGCGGGAGCACCTTTGGCCATTCTGGAAACCAAATCGGAACCAAGAGCAAGGAGCTTATGCAATCGGCGGGTAAAATGGGCAAAGGACTATTCAGCAAGGGCAAGAACAAATTGCGCGGGGACAAGGTATTTCACTAATGCTTTTTTTCTTATACCACCCAGCTCATAGTGAGTGGGCCATTTCCTTCAACTTCCCTCAGGCAGGATGGATCTTGTTTTACTCTGTATTGATTTATGAATAATGTTTGAACTGGATTTCTGCATCACTGCGTTTTATGACGCTGCGGGTGTTCGAGATCGAATATGACGATGAGAACTATTATCCTGTCATCCCTCTCGCGAGATCATTAAATCATATATGTGAGACGATTTGATATTAATTATTGCTTCTCTCAATAGGGCGATACACATCCACCGCCAGCACAATCCAAGGCCAAACACGACCGCTCCGGTTCCTGGGCCGTACTCAGCAGCAAATTGCGCACCGAGTTCTCCTCGTCCAGAGACCATGAGCACTCGCAGCAACGGCCCCAGCAGCGCCAGGAAGAATACTCGGCTCCAAGGCCGAGCATTACCATTGCGCCGCAAATTCCGGAGCCCGAGCCCGTTTCACCGCTGCTGCGTGAAGCGTCCCCAGAGAAGTCCCTACCAGCCGCGCAAACTTCCACGCAGCCCGTTGTGCACAATCAATTTGCAGTCGGCGCCAAGTTTGATCCGACATCTTCAACTTCCTCTGTCCCTCTATCCGGCCGGATTCGCATTGTTCCGTCGGAGACTGTGCCTGATCCTACCAGCGCGGGTGCTCCAGTCATGTCGCCTCCGGTTGCCGAAGAAAATGGAGTTGGGAAGCTTGCGCGGACCGAAGAGTCTGACGATGCGCCCAAGAGACAGTCTTCCTTTGTTGGTTTGCCACCCATTCGCAGATCTTCAACCTTTGGTGTAAAGTCCAAGACTCGTCGCGCTGCTGAACGCTTCCCTCTGGACGAAGAGGGGGGTCACGATGTTCCCGACCTACCCACAAGCGACGTGATGAAAAATGCTCTCAGCCAGCAAGATGCGCCTAAGCAACTGCATCATGAGCAGCCTGGCGCTCTAGAGCTAGGTGCAGCTTCTCAGACTACCGGTAAGGACGGTACCGCGGTGCAGCATCGATCTGACTCCGTTGAGCATTCTCTTGCAAGGCAGCCTGCGGTGGCGCCCCCACCACAGCCTCAGCCCATGCGCCAGCCAGAACATCCACCTATGCTGATGTATCCTGGGCAATCCGGCCCCTGGAGGCTCGAGGAGAGCCACCTGGCAGAACCTCTGCATCAAGCCAAGAATCGCTCTGGCCACAGCCCCATCTCTCCGCCCATGAACTATGGCTTCGACAAGGAGACCGGGCACTCTGCCATGATGCCCCCGCCGTCGCTGCCTGCAGGCAACATTCGACAGCGCAGCCCAGATGTCCCGCCCTCGTCTGCACAACGCTACCCGGGCCTCTTTGCGCCGCATCCTGACCAGGATCCTCTGCAGCGTCAGGGGGGCTCTCAGTCGTACTACGAGGAGATGGCGAACCCGCGTCGTAGCAGCAACGAGTACTCAATCCCGGGTGTCGGGCCGCCTGCTGAGGAGAGAGGCCGCGTCAAGCGAAACTCGGGCATGTTTCGGGATATTGGTGACAAGATTGTGCGCGCGGCTTCGCGTGACCGGAGAAACTCGATCGCGGAGAACCGACCAGCCACTGACGCGCACGCTGACGAAGCTTCTGAATCGAGCTTTGGCGCCGAAGAGATGCAGGACCGCAAGAAGCGCCGCTCCAGCTTCCTCAACATGCTTACGGGACGCGCCTCCATGGATCAGAGCTCTCATCAGGGGTTTTCCGCCCCTCAGCGCTCTCACACTGATGCTTTACCTCTGTCATCATCGGACGGCCTCGCTACCCAGAAGCGTTCCGTGCTTGGCGGTGTCATGGCTGGCTTTGGTGTAAGCAAGGGTGGCTCATCCAATACACCTGCTTCAGGTCTCGTCGACCAGTCGGCAGTAGCAGACGACGAACTTCCGCTTACACCGAAAAAGAAACGTTTCTCCGGCATCGCCAGGGCCTTTCAACGACCCAACCAGGACCGGCCTTCCTCTGGCATGTCACTCCGACCTTCTTCCGGCTTGTCACTCCGCCCCTCTTCCGGCATGTCTTTGGAGCCGACCCCGAGTGGTGGAAGCAGCCAAGGAAACACTCGCAGTGGGATCTTTTCCAGCATGCCCTTCCGCAACAAGGATCACGGCGATTCTGCTGGTCAGACGGCGTCAGCTAATCCCGAGCAAAACCGCCGTGCTTCGTTCTCCAATCTCCTCTCGAGTTTGGCTGGCATCAAGAGCCAACAGCAAGAGCAGCAGCATGCTGTCCCGATTCAGGGCATGGGAGGCAATGCCTCGAATGAAATGCCTCAGAATATTCCTCCTCCTCCGCATCAGAAACATCCCGCGGATGCCTTCCCGTCGTCGTCTGGTGACGCCCTGGCTCCTACTTTGCCCAACCAGTTCGTGGGTCCGCCTCAGCAACTTTCCAACGCTGGTGAAAACGAAGGGGGTATTGGCCGGCCTCCTACCTCTACGACTGTGACGGCCAGCGATACCAAGCCTGATGCCGACGAATCAACCGCGAGTAGCGCCGCCACTATACCCGCCACTGTACCCATCGTTAGCGAGCTGCCCCTGCCCGCTGCCCATGCAAATACCCAGCGTGACGGAGCTTCTGCTCCATCCGAAATTTCAGATTCCGAGACGGGCATTGCGGGGAATACTCGCAAACCCCCTGATGTGACGCCGTCGATTGCTTCTCATACTGACGACGAGAGTGCCGACATCACCCGCCAGGATACCAACGTGAGTCAAATGACGTCAAGTATCGTCACGGACGTCCCCCGCCAAGATGAGCAGCAGCAGACACCCACCGCGCAAGATCCAAAGAGCCCTGGTGGCTCTCTTGAGCATAACCAAATGTCTGGCACAGCTGTTCCCTCCGCGGTGCCTCAAGCATACTCTCAACAGCATACTGTGCAGCACCAACGAGATCCTTCTTACTTGTCTACGGGGCCCAGTTACAGTCAGGGCACTAGCCAGCCCGGTCTCGGTCCCAACTACGGTCAAGATACCTCGCTTTCCATGCAATACCCCAAGAATCAGCAAGAGCAGCAACATTTTCAGCCTAGTCTTTCTCAGCCTGTTTCACAAGCTGAGCAAGCCAGTGCATCGCCCAAGGGATGGAGAGGGCTCAAGACCAAAGTGGCCGGTCAGATGGCCAGCATCAGCCAGTCTCCTAATAGCAAGGGCCAAGACAGGCAAGACCAGGGAGGCAAGACCACGCCGATGGATAAACTTTTTGGCGCCCGCAAGAGACTATCTAAACAGCAGGGTTCGTCTGGCGCGCAGCAACAGAGGGCCTTGCCGCGAGACGGCGCTGAAGGAGTGGAGCCATCGCCAGGTTTCCGCGTCTTTGCAAGGAATCAAGGTCAGCCTTTCGTGGCTCAGCCTCAGCAGTTACCGCCGCAGCAGATGCATACGGGACAAGGACACCACCTTCAGCAACCTTTTCTTCAGCAGCAGTCCATCTATACGCAACAACAACAGCAACCACCACAGCAACAGCAACTGCATGGCGAGCCTCAATACGCTGCAGTCCCGATTCCTCAGGGCTATACTGCCGTGTATGGCCATGGTAGCGCGCAAGTGCCCAGCATGTACAATGTTGGGCGCCAATACTCCCAGCACCAGACGCCTTACCAGCAGCAACAGAATTACGCCACCCATTACCAGTCTCATTCTTATGCAGGTGTTAACCAACCGCAGGGCAGTGGAGTCTTTGCAACACAAACTCAGTCACCCAACCTTCCACGAGCCGAGCCGCTGCCTCAGCAGCCACACTCTCAGCAGCCGTACGCAACTGGGAGTGAGGTTCTTAGCCCTGTTTCCACGCATCACAGTGATGGCATGCCTTTGAGCCCTGCTTCTGAGGAGCCTCGCAGCCCTCACGCGGCTCTCACCAGAGAAGCACTGGCACAGCAGGACGCTCGCAAAGACTTACAGGCTGATCTTCTTCGACCGAAAGAATCTCATGGCGGCCTCGGTCCTTCGAATAGTAACCGCGTCAGCCAAGTTTCCAACGACAGCCGCAGACATGCCTCCCCCAAATCTGAGCAATCGCCCGTTATCAGCCACAAGCAGCTACCGACTTCGCCAGCATCTCTCTACAATGATCGACACGTCTCCGCGTCCAGCATGTCGCCGCCTGTGGGCTTCGGCTCTGACACCGCTAGCCTCAGCCACGGCGCTGTCCGCACTGAAGCTACCATCCCCGCTTCGCCAGCTGCGCCTCTAATCAAGGACCTGACGGGTGAGAGTAGGGGCCAGGTCTCGGATGACTCGCTGGCATCAAAGACGAAGCTGGACAAGACAAATGCTGCTACAATCACTGCGGCGACGAAACATGTCGCCGAACTCGAGGACACTGCGGAAGCCCGGAAGCGCACACTTCGCATAAATGAACAAGAGGAAAAGATTGCGTATGATCCGGAAGAGGAGAACCCCAAGATGATGGCGACGAGCTATCCCGGCCAAGAATGGAAACCTGATTACGGTGATCCTAGTTTTAGCGACGGACCCGAGTAAGAATACAAGTAAGGAACTGTTTATATATATGTATATCTGCCTGGCGGTTATTTAATTTGTCACAAATCTTCTATTTGTCATTGGTTTTCCTTTCTTCTTTATTGCCTTTTTGGATACCGATATTATGGTTCATTTGTGCGAAGTTTCTTGCATAGCGTCTTCTTGAGGTATTATTTGTTGTTTTTCTTAATGATGAGCTGCTTTTCTTTGAATTTGCTACGGAAATACGAAGCCTGATAGCCGGAGATTGTGTGTCGACATAGAACTCAACTTGAATCGTGGGCCGACTACATTTCAACGCAGTGTCCAATATACGAATGTACCCGTCTCAGGAACTGCAGACCCCGAATTAACGCGCATATGAGGTTTCTGGATTCTCTTCATCTAATGGCCTCTAGGAGCCCACGAACATTAACTATTTTCATTATTTTGTGTTGTTGCCCCATGCCAAGTGCGCCCGTCGACCACAGCCTTGGCAAATCGCCCTTGGCCCTTGGCGATCGCCCTTGGCACCGAACAAGCAGCTGTTGAAAAAGCCACAGCCGACGGGAGCGGCGAACAAGCAGTTGCCGAAAAAGCCACAGCCGACGTGAGCGGCGAACAAGCAGTTGCCGAAAAAGCCACAGCCGACGGGAGCGGCGAACAAGTTGAGAGTTCAGTGACTATATCCTTACAAAACCACTACTCCGCCGGAGTAATTCGTGTGCTGATATCTATCAGCCTACTCCGTACGCCGGTTGGTGATGGCGCACAGACGAAGAAGCGTGTTTCTTTTTTTAAACTTTGGAAGGTGCGTGGCATCTTACCACCTACTTTAGTTGATTGAAAGCTTTGACTGAGGATTACTGATAACAATCACGTAATCAGTTGAATCTGCCTGCGCCTACTTTGCCGTCTTGAATGGTGCAATGCTGAATGCTTTCAGGAAACAGTCTACATTCCGAAGCTTACTGGACAAAGATGTTGCGTTATTTGGTCGCAATAATCGGTGCTTTGCTCACAATAGTCCTGCCTGCCGTATTAGACTAGATCTTTGGCTCCGTATAGAATTGCCCCATCTGCAACGTCGCTATCGCCTTTGACTCCGCCGGCTCGATGGTAAGTTGTTAACCTTGAATCAGTGTCCCGATCGGGAAGGTCGATTATTATACGCCCATTCAGGGCTGTTGGTTGGCTGTGCGAAGAGGGTCCGCGCGCTAGTGGTTGGCGAGTTGCGAATAGGGCAAGGTACAGAGTTTACGCCATTAGGTTTCCCGTTTCAACGGCTAATCCGGTTACAGCAGCTCAGTGAGGACGACGCAGTGGAGAGTCCCTCGGATAGGTCCTCAGCTTCTCACTCGGGTCAAGTTCTCACTCGGGTCAAGTTCGTGTGTTGCATCGGGTAGCTGACGACGGTCTCCATGCGCAGTCGGTGTCTTCTTACACAAGGACGTCGGGGCATTGCGCCATGGCTCGCGATATGCGTGATGGCACGGCCGTATTGCAACGGCCGGTGGCCGGTGGCTTTGCGTATAAAAGGCCGTGGTCATGGCCGTGTTTCAGAGACGAGATATCCCAGTATCCCACTCTCTTCTGGTCATTCTCAACTGATTACAACATCTTTTGTCTTTGGCAGTATAACATACTTCTGCAAAGATGGTCGGCCTCAAGTCCGTCCTCGCCTATGCCTCTCTGGCCAGCGCCGCCGTGGTGCCCGCCCCCTTGGTCAACTTTGCTGGAGAGACCGGCCGCTTCACCGTTGACCTCAAGTATAACGAAAACTTTCAGCGCGGCCCGCGCTTGCCCGCCATCGCCGCCCGCCAGACCACGCCTGCGCACGACAGCAAGACGCGCCCCGACGGCGAGTACTACGCCGAGGTGCTCGTCGGCACCCCCCCTCAGAAGATCAACCTGCTCTTTGACACGGGCTCGAGCGACCTCTGGCTCTTTGGAGCCGACGTGAGCGGCGAGGTCGACAAGGACCAAGCCAAGTGGAACCACACGTCGAGCTCGACGGCCAAGCTGGTGCAGGGCGGCAAGTGGTCGATTGGCTACGGGGACGGCTCCGGCGCCAAGGGCACCATCTATAAGGATACCGTTTCCATTGCCGGCGCGAGCATCACTGGCCAGGGCGTCGAATACGCCACCACCGTGTACCCGCAGTACAACGGCGACAACATTCTTGGCGTGCCCGTGTCGGGCATTGTCGGCTTCGGCTTCGACAACATCAACACGGCGTCGCCCAAGCAGAAGACGCTCTTCTCCAACCTCAAGCCGCACCTCGACCAGCCCGTCTTCACCGTCGACATCAAGCACCGCGCCGACGGCACGTTTGGCTTTGGCTTCATTGACGACTCCAAGTACACGGGCGACATCACCTACACCAACGTCGACTCCTCTGACGGCTTCTGGACCATCACCTCCACCGGCTACCAGATTGGCGACGACGAGTTTGTCGAGACCAAGTACAGCGGCATCGTCGACACGGGCAGCTCCGGGTTCGAGGTGCCGTCCGCCGCGTACCAAGCCTGGAGAAGCAAGTTTCCCGCCGGCGCCATTACTGCGCAGACGGTGCTGCCCGACTTTACGTTTGGTATTGAAGGCGCCAGGATTCGCGTGCCCGGCAACAACCTCAAGGAACAGAATAGCGACGGCACGTACAGCCTCAATATTTACAATGGCGGCGCAAACTCGGCCTTTTTCGGCTCGCCGTCTCTGACGGGCGCGTATGTGGTGTTTGAGGATGGCGACAACGGTCCTAGACTAGGATGGGCTACGTCTAAATAAAGGAGGGCAGTATTTTAGATGTATATACTTGCCGGTCATGGCAGAGATGGCTACTTTACGAATACATCATGTTACGAAGCTTAAAATCAGTTGAAGCCTGTGATGATCCCTAATATGATCCGAGACAATATCTCATTGTGATTTCAAGTATCGAGTTGAGATAGCAGACAAGTGTGATAGACGTAGTGTGGGGTAAGGGATGTATATTGCAAGGACGAGAATTGTGCAAAGATTTATAGTGAGGAAGCTGTGGCCTCCCTGCATTTGTGCCATTTACCGCGTGGAAACCTGCCCGATTGTACCAGAAGACGCAAACCCTGCGTTATAACGTCGAATAGAACTTTCTGTACAAAATCGAAGAACGCTGACCAGTCTAAGCTCGACATTATACTTGGTCCGAACGAGTCTCTGGTAGTATATCTTGCATTCGGATCAAGGAGAAAAATCGAGTATAACCCCTGGAACGGATGCAGGGCAAACGGAGCGGAGAATTCTAATTCCTCGTGAAGGTACAGGTAAGCCTGGCTGTCAAGTCAAAATTCCGCTCCCCGCATTCAACCCCGCTCCTCCTCCACCTTTTGTCGTCCACAAGCTAGCTAAAAGGCGATGGAGCTAGACCACAAACTTTACACCGTCGCGTGGATCGCGCCGTTAGAGATCGAGGCCCGCGCGGCCGCTTGCATGCTCGATCACGAGCATGATGGACGCTTCTCTATGCAGCGCGGCGACGACTACGTCTACCAGGCTGGCGAGGTTTGCGGGCACAACGTCATCATCGCAACGCTGCCGGCGGGCCAGGAGTACGGCACGGGCTCGGCGGCCGCGCTTGCGAGTCAGGTCAAGAAGTTCTTTCCCAACATCTGGTTCGGACTGCTTGTCGGCGTGGCGGCGGGCTTGCCCAGTCTGACGGGGCCTTTGATACGCGATATCCGACTGGGCGACGTCCTCGTGGCGCTGCCTGAGGGGGACAGCGCGGGGCTGGTTGCCTACGACCTCGGCAAGGAGACGGGTTCAGACGGCTTCCAGTTACTTAGAGGCGGCGATGCTCTGGCGGTGACGGAGACGGTTGTCCGGGCAGCGATTGGGAGTATAAAAAGGCGAGCACCAAACGATGCGAACCTGATTCTCCCGTACTACGACAAGATCAAGAACCAGGAGCATGGTGGCGGGACCTTTGCGGATCCGGGACAGGGTACAGATCGACTCTACGGGACGGACGAGGCGGGAAGGCCGGTGATTCAAAGACGGGAGCCTCGACCGGACGAGCGACGCACACGTATCTGGTACGGGCCGATTGGATCTGGGGAGAAGCTGATGAAAAACGCATCAAGGCGAAATAAACTGAGGGATCGGTATAATATAATCGGTCTTGAGATGGAGGCGGCAGGAACCATGAATCGGATTCCGGTTGGAGTCATTCGTGGCGTATGCGACTACGGCGACGAGCACAAGAACAAGGAATGGCAGCCATATGCGGCGGCAATGGCGGCCGCCTATGCCAAGGCTGTGTTGGCGCAGATAGGCCTATCGAGACCAACAAGCGGTTAGCCGTTAGTTTCTCAGCAGATGATATATATGCTAATTGACTTCTAGTTTGTTATATCCCATTTAGACGTAATCATAATTTTACGGGCCGCCGAACACAGCTTGATCGGCTTGAGCAGATGCTCTTCCGCGAAAATAGAGAACGAGTGGCGGTGGTAGGCCTTGGAGGCATGGGCAAGACGCAGATAGCGCTAGAGCTAGCGCACCGAGTGCGAAATATGGAAGTGGAAGGCGTGACGCAGAGATATTCAGTATTCTGGGTGCCCGCGCAGAGCATGGCGACTTTTCACAAGACAGCAGGAGAATTGGTGCAACGACTTGATATCCACTGTGGTAATGATGACCCAAAAGAAGCTCTTCGGACATATCTTGAGTCAGATGCGGCAGGCCATTGGCTTTTGGTAGTTGACAACGTGGACGATACTGTCGTGCTAGATGGAACGCCCGGTCATTCAAACGGGCTATCTGGCTTGTTGCCGCAAAGCCGGAAGGGAAGGCTCTTAATAACGACGCGACAAACCTCACTCGCTGTGAACGTGGCAGGTAACGATATAGTCAAGCTCTCGTCTATGACATTTGACGAGGCATACTCGTTGATGGGGATATTGCTGCTCGATAAAAGCCAGGTTCGGGATATAGAAAGCACCAAGGAGCTGTTGAAGAAGTTGACGTGCTTGCCTCTAACGTTGGCGCAGGCAGCAGCATACATGAACAAAAACGGGACACCTATTGTTCGGTACTTAAAACTGTGCCGGTCAGCCGACCAGAATATGGTCGATCTTCTTGGCAAGCGGCTTCGTGATGAGACGCATCACAGCCAGGCGCAAGGGGCTGTGGTAACGACATTGATTGTCTCATTCGAGGCGATCCGCGAGACAGACTCGAATGCTGTTCGTCTTCTATCCTTTATCCGGTGGATCGAGCCAAAGGCAATACCGATAAGCATGTTGCCTGATGCAGGATCTCAGATTGATCTAGAAGACTCAATAGGATTGTTGTGTGGGTACGGATTTCTTAGTCGGCGGGAGGATGGCGAGATGCTGGATATGCACAGCCTAGTACATTTAGTCTTGCGATTGTGGCTGGACCAGGATGATGACAATTCCTTGACGTCAGAAGCCGTGGCAATTAAGCATCTGGAAAGGGTTTTTCCGTCAGTTGAGTGGGAGAATAGGTCAGTGTGGCGGCAGTTCTTGCCGCATGTTTTACCTTTTGTAAAGGACGCTGCGTTACGACGTAACGAACCGTTGCAACGGCTAGGTCATAGAGCAGGCCTGTGTCTACGAGTCGATGGTCGGACGTCAGAAACGGTCAAATGTTTTGAGCTTCTCGCAGCAGCTCGAGAGAGGACACAGGCAGACACTCACCCCGATCGACTAGATTCACAGCATGAGCTAGCACGTGCTTATCTGGCCGACGACCAAGTCGAGAAAGCGATTCAGACGCTGGAGCGTGTGGTGGCTCTTCGGGAGCAGACACTAGCAAGGACTCACTCAGATCGACTGTCATCGCAGCGCGCACTGGCAAGTGCATACCAGGCCAATAGCCAAGTCGAGAAAGCGATCAAGCTGTTGGAGTATGTGGTGGCTCTTCGGGAGCAGACACTGGCAGAAACTCATCCAGATCGACTATCATCACAGCGCGCATTAGCAAGTGCCTACCAGGCTAACGGCCAACTCGAGGACGCGGTCAAGATGCTAGTGCATGTG